TTCACTAATAGGGAGCAAAGGAGCACAACCTTGTTTCACAGGAAGCTTCATGAGCTTGTTTCATATAAAGCTCTAATACGATCTGAGTTTCAGAGATTTAATGGATACAAATATGCAAGTTATATGCACAGCTAGAGTGGTGGAAAAGATCTGTTTCAGAGGCACCAAATGCCTGTCCAACCCCTAAACCACTATTTTTTATCTGAATTTGTTTTCAGACATTCAGCTTAAGGCTGTTTGTGACCATGGTTTGCACAGCAAGTGCCTGGCAGGACAGACAGGTCTGAATTTAACCATCTGCCCACTGTGTAAAATGTGAGCAGAGAGAGAAATCTTGGACAGCCATTGTTCCCTCTCTGGAGTAATTTTGGAGTTATTTCTCCATGTGTAACAGCTGGAGTCAATCAGTTAGCATTTGTGTGATTGATGGGCACTCCCAGGTTTCACAGCACTCACAATTGATGGGCACTTGCAGCTTTTAGTTAGTGCTAGGTCCCTAGGAGATTGTTCAGACTGTTTTTGCCCATAGATCCTCCAATCAGACTTGTATAACCTATATGCTTCTCCTAGTTCTCTATTCATGGAGAGAGGCATGGCCCATGTGGATATGCTAACACTGCCCCTACAGAAAGCAAGCATTCCTAAGTTAAGGCACCAGAAACAGGGGCAAACCAGGACCCTCCACAAACCATCTACCACAATAAGAAGGATTCCTGTAGGTACTAGACTTAACAGCTATTCGCTTGCCCTTACTTAAGTTTAGAGCAAACTACACGATCAACACGTGCAGATGCTTACTGCATAGTAGTTTGCTCTAATCACAAGTACATTTGCTACCTGTAAATACAAGTAGCAAGTTTACTCACAATTACTTCCTTACCATTTGGCATGTGTAGACAGAGTAAACAGAGTAAACTCGAGAGTAAACCCACCCCAGAGCATTTGAAGGTGTAGATGCACCTCCTGACCTCTATGGTACTTGCCTTCTTGCTCTCACTTCACTCCTCTCTCTACTTGTCTATTTCTCTTATTTTTTCCTCTGTCTGCCTGCAACAAAGCTTCTCCCAGCTGCCCACAATGGAAAAACCCCAAGTCTTTGACTTGCAAATAGAACAAATAGACAAGCTTATGTTTGCAGAAATTCAGATTGGCAGAAATCTTGTGTGTGTCTGCTATTCCCTAAATGCTGCTAGTATGTTTTAACCCAGGGGTTGTCAACCAGGGGTGTGCATACTCCTGCAGGTACTTGGGATGGCCCCAGAAGATTCGTGCAGCAGCTCAGGGAAATGGCGTGTGGCAGCAGTGCAGAGTGGTGAATGGCAGAGACAGCCGCTGTGTATGCATTCCTTGCCCCCCACTGCCACCATTCACCACTCTGCACTGCTGCCATGCACTGCTTCCCTGCCACCTGCCACTGTCATTCACCTGTCTGCGCTGCCACCATGCGCTGCTTCCCTGCTGCCAGCTTCACATTTGGCTGGCTGTCAGGCCCCCCCCAGCTCCTCATCTGAAAGGGGGCACACTCCAGAAGTGGTACTCACTAGGGCTGTGTGAAGCTTCAGTCCCCAATTTGATTTGGTGGAGATTGGGCCCGATTTGGTGGCCAAATCTACAAATCTGAACTGAATCAGAGGAGCCTTTAATCACCCTGAATCAAATCGATGAGATTCAGAAAGATTAATAGATACTAGGGGTCTGAAGGGATCTCAACAAACCATCGAGTCCGACCACCTGCCTAGGCAGGAAAGAGCGCTGGGGTCAGTTGACCCCAGTGAAATGCCTATCCGCCTTCTCTTAAAGACATCTACATGTGCAGATACTTACTGCATAGGAGTTTTGTCTAATCACAAGTACATTTGCTACCTGTAAATACAAGTAGCAAGTTTACTCACAATTACTTACTCACCATTTGGCATGTGTAGACAGTTGACTGGGGGCAAAATGACAGTGGCAGGGGACAGGAAAGATGCCTATCCAGCCTTCTCTTAAAGATTCAGAGATTCAGACATAGAGACAGCTTTAAATGTTTTTTCTACACACCTCTAGGTAGCAGGAGCTCATGAGTGCTGTGATGGTGGAGCAGATGGAGGGTCCCACAAGAGTGTGGGGTGCTCCCTAGAGTGCTCGGCAGCAGACCCAGAAGTGGACCAGAAGCACTTCCGGTCCGCTTCCGGGTCTGCAGCTGCGTGCATGGAGAGCCCCCCCGCACTCCTGTGGGACACTCCATCCACCCCAGCATCGCAGCGTTCATGAGCCACGCCTGCTACCTCAAGGTCTGTAGAAAAACATGTAAAGCTGTGTCGATGTCCAAATCGCTGATTCTCTGAATCATCATCGAATCTTCAGATTCGGATTAGGTCAAATCGAATCAGGGATAGTGATCCGAATCAACGAATCTAATCACTGTCCCTGATTCGGGCCAAATCCAAATCGAATAGGGCCCACTTGCACACCCCTAGTACCCACCAGAAGGGGTACACTCCTTAAAAAGGTTGAAAAACCCTGTTTTAACCCTATGCCATGCCTTTAGTCTGCTTTCTTACTTATAGGTTGTTAGCTCTTTCAGGTAATGACCACTCCTTCATCTGTGTTTCCATCTAGCAGAAAAACGAAGGTGTCATGCTCCTGATGAAGTCTAATGCAAATAATGACCAGTAAATGGGGAGCTGTATCTGCCCCAGAGAAGGAAAGAAACATCAACAGTTATCATGGCTGCACTTGGAGGCCCCAACAGAGTGTGGGTCTCGCTGTGTAAACAGAAAGGGAGATGGTCTCTGCCCCGACAAGTTGACAGAGAAATAGGCAAAGACTGGGAATGGAAACAGAAGCCCAAGAAGTGGTACATCTTGCCTGAAGTCACTGGCAGGTTGGTGACCAGGTCTCCTTATTCCCAACCCCATGCCCGTTCTAATAGGTCATTCTGCCTCTCTTCTTGTAAACTCTACATGGACTTTTGTGCACTTGAGCATCCCTAGTAACCAGTAGGGTCTGCCTAAATGCTCTGGGTGAGGATCTCATGGCAGGTGGCAGGGATCTGTGTGTGACCTGGTTTCACAGCTACTCTTCTAAGCCTTTGGAGCAGTATCTGTCTCTGCTGCTTCAGCTATCCATTTTTTTTCAACCATGCAGCAGACCCTTCTGGACAGATGCCTTACATGGTAGTTTTCCAGACATGGAAAGTGGTCATCTAGCACCCCCTAAGGATACTGAAGAAGGAACCCCATCTCCATTGGCTTCACTTTTTCCTCAGATACCGAACTCTTACCCTAGTGGGAACAGGAAAGAGGAAGGTTGGGTGATTTCTTGAGGTCTGGGTTCTGTACACTTGAATGTATGTCCCTGGGGATAGTCTGAAGCCAACGTCTGCAAACAGAACCTGCAGATTCCAGGCTGTGTAACACCCACCACCCAAACTGCAGGACTTTTCCATTCCAGGGGCAAAACTTTCCTAGGCCTGGAAGGCAGTAGGCTGTTGGCCTAGCTGTTGTCTAGTGTTACAAAAGGCACATGGCTGGTACAGCATTAGACATATCTAAATGATGCTACTGCTATTTAACACCCTGACCTTGCCAGAGAGAGAGAAAATCACCATCTCTGGTATTCATTTCTAAGGACAGTGGCAATCCCCCAGGGCACCACGATAAACGAAAGCTAACCTTTGAATGTGCACAACGACATACAGGAACCAAGAAGTGTGGGGTAATTTCTCAAAAGAATTCCTTCCTTTAACTCGCTCTAATCCTATTCTAGGGCTAAACATTTGGCCTATTGCATGTGGAGTTGCTTATTTGACTAGATTTCTGTATGCAACCTCTACTCAGTTGTACTGAACTATTAGCCCTTTACATAAATGTCGGGGCAGGGAAGTCTTGATAAAAACAACTGATGTGAATCTTTCATTATCACCTGCTAGTCCTGATAATCCTTTCTGGTGATATTTCACACGGCTATATTCTAATTCCATTTCTGGTGTACAGAGGCCTCACCCATTCTGTTTCTTTGAGAACCAAACCTTCCTGTTTATAACTAGCTAAACATTTTAATGATGCCCACCCGGATGAGATCATGCTGAAGAAACCTCTATCAGAGTTTTTTGCATATATGCTGTTTGCTCAAGGATTGGTCCTGCAAACTACATACAAATGTGCTGTATTATAAAGTACCCTGCAACACCAACTTTCCACAGACTGTCTTTACATTGGAAGCAGAAGTCTTTGCAAGAATGGTAAGTCATCACGTTGCATATTTTAAAATATGTCAACACATTGCTAAAGATTTTAAAGCAGGTGTTAGGAAAATCATTAGCAGAGGTGCGAGACATTCATTGCTTTGAATTAAGTCAGTGAAAATTAGGGAGCTCAGCACCTAAAGGGTGAGGTGGCAGGGAGGTGGGAGAGGGGGAAATCAGATCCTCCTAGGATTTTGCCTGGATCAGTATGTAAACAGAATAAAATGTTTTTCATAATAGTTGATGCCTAGGAACACTACTGTTAAGGGATTTTTTTTTAAATGTGCATCTTTTATGGTTGAAATCATCTCTGTTTAGTCTCAGCTTGGAGCATTTTTATTTATTACAGAAAGTTTGGATGAAGTCTGAAAAAGTTATTTAAGTAAATATGATCTTTACTCTTAGTCACCTCAGCTCAAATGTAATGAAAATTCATCATAGGAAAGTCTCCATCACTGAAAGCTAACTCCATGCTTTTCTTAAAATAATGAACAAACTAAATACCTCATCAAAACCATAGCCTAATGTGATACATGCCTGAAACCTTATTTTTCTGTTTGCCTGATGGCACCATCCATTCCAGGGTCAGGGAAAATTACCGAGGGTCTCAAATTTCCTAGAAATTTATGGAAATATTCTCATTACCTTCAGTGGGGCTTTGGCTTAGGCCCTTAGGAGACCACTGAGGGGTAAATTCTGCCAGCTGAGTTATGAGAATTCCCCTCATGCAGGTCTGATGTGCAAGAAGGCAGGATGGGTGCACCCCCCTACCATGTATGACTCTAACTCCATAAAGGAGGATGGGGATGAAGCTAGGAAAGCAGTGGTTAGTAATATCCTTAGGCATGACAGTTGTTTTGCTTTATAATTTTTTGTCTTGCCTAGTGTAATTGGATATGTTCACTATCTATATGAATGACTAACCCCTTTTTGAATCGTGTGGGTTTTTTTTCTTCTTCAAGGATGTCTTGTCATGGTGCGGTCCACTGGTTATGTATTTTTAAAATGTATAATTATTCCCCTAGATTGGAAGTTTAAGACAATTACCTTTTAGTTTCATTAAATGTCTCCTTGCTCCTAGCACCCAAATCACTTTCTCTGAACCATGATTATTTTGTATTTTTACCTTATCTTGTTCCTCATATTCATCTCCTATCTGAAGCAGTTAGTATCTCCTGTTATGTCCCATTTCTATATCACCTATTTCCTTCTGTGGCTGGGTGGGGAAACATCAACAAAGTGAACACAGTATTTTTCCCATTCCTTTCTAAAACGTCAATAGAATGCAATATCAATATTATTCTGTACCCATTTCCTACTATGGGCTTGCTTTTGGCAGGGGTGAGGAGGGGGGCTGTTGTGGCACATGGATTAAATGACTTGTGTTGCTCTGCCCTCAATGACGTTCAGTTGAGACTGTTTAATTTGGAACCCATTAGCATGTGCATGTAAGGTTCATGTTGTTGTCCCTGCAAAGTACATTACTCTTAATATTTTGCCAGTTTTTTTGCAGTTTCCACCAGGTCTGTTCCTTCCAGACTGAAAAAAACCAAACCACCCCCGCCCACCCATTTTTACTACTCTTTAATTTTGTTGTTGTTTCTAATTCAAGTTTTTAACCATGACTAGAATTTTCCTCTTGTCCCATGATCCCTTTATTTATTATTTTGAAAATGGCTTGTGAGCAAGGGCTTTTTTTGAAAATTCAGCTACAATTCTTTAACAGCTATTTCTCCATCAGCTGTCATTAGGCTGACATGCTCAAACACTTCTGGCCCTCTAACGAAGCTTTTGGCCATGTAATCTTAGAACTGCCTTGATGGGGTTTGTGACAGAAGGGGGTAGGCAACCATGTAAAGGAACTGAGCAGAAGAGGATAAAAGGGATAGAGATGAGGAAAAATAGGAAAATAATATATTAGTCTGTATGGGCCTATTTTACAGATTCCCTGCCTTTTCTGCCAGTGACGTCTTAGGGAAGGCCTGACACACAAATGGGCTGGAAAGGAAAAGCTTTTACAGTACCCCACACCTTCCCCTTGCTGACTTAGCCACTCAATAAGCCACAAAATGCTCTGAACTCTCCTGTAGAGAATCAAATGCCCAGCAAGTTACTCAACCTGCCCACTTCTTTGTCACTGTCATGCTTATCCACCCAGGGAACAAAAACATTATAATTTGACTAGAGTGACCAGTAAGGAAAACCAAGTAGTAAGATGACACAGTTCACAAGAAACCCAGAAGCTAGGATTTGTTTACCTAACAGCAGAATAATTGTAGAATAATTTCAGACAAGAAAAGGTGACTCAAAGTCTGTTTGCAGTTAGATTATAGGTTGAGTCCACTCATTAACAACAGTCCTAGTTTAAAAAAAAAGTTTCTTTAATTTCTCTGTGAGGACTACGTTGTGCAACCTAAAATGTGTGACCAAAACACAAAGGATTAAAATGAGAATTTCTAAAGTCAAAAGTGTAAACTGTTATAGCTTTAATAAAAAGTTCCTAGCTGGGGCAGTAATAGATGCATATTGCCAAAAACTCAGATACATGCAGGAACTTGCATTAGGCAGTTAAGACAAGGATGTCCGAAGATAAAAATATACAAGAATACATAATGCATTTGAGGTTTCAAAGAGTAGCTGTTTTGGATTGATCAGAGAACAATAACACACTTTCCTTCATTAACCATCACAGAACTACTTTATAATCACCCTAGTTTTCACTCTCTTATTCAGAAACGCTTCTTGGTTTGCATCTTTCTTTTGGTCCTAAGTGTGTCACTGTGCAATGCAGCTTGTTACTTTACATTATTGGAACCAGGTGCTCCCACTCCAGGTAAGACATTCTGTTTCTGTCTTCAACCTAGTACACACCACCAAGAGCACAAAATGATTTGGCTTGGCCTATTTACATGATTATCCATTTTAGATTAATCTACCTACACTGTACCTTCTTGACCGAAACAAAAGCAGTATGAGTAGAAACACTGAAGGGGGAAACAGTGACAATCTGAAGTGGAGGCATCCAACACAACCTGGGTCGCTTTGCTTATCCCTGGTTCTCAAGTTGTCATTCTACACATCTACCTTTGTCTAGTTAGACTACAGCTTTGTTTTTGGTACAGGTACGGTGTCTTCCCCATCAATGGCATAATGAGACCACACTCCAAATTGGGGATTGTAGGTGTTGCCAGGAAATAACATAATAAAAAACAATATTGATTAGTTGGAGAGGTTGGGAGCTGCCCAGTGTCTGGACCATCACAGCTACCCCATGCCTTGAATAATGTAGTATTTCATGGGTTTGAGAGCAGTTGCATAATGCAACACATAGTTGCCTGTTCTGGGTGGGATATGCATTTGCACTATCACTTGTAAAATAAGCTAGTGCTGCCCAATGAATAGCACCCATTCAGATGCAAGAGTAGAATTAACACCAACTCCAAGGTCAAAGCTGACTGAGTAATGATAGAGAAAGAAATTCATCTTTGGGGCTCCTGAGCCAGAGCAGAACCACTCTGCAATTGTCGGGCAGATGCCCCTTGCCCCTATGTGCCTCCTTTCTGTGAATGGAACGTTTTTATGTTAGTGGGTCCTCTAGTCCCACCCACAAAGATCCATTGCATGTGACTACTCCAGGAGTCCCCATGGAGCTGAGATGTGAAGAGAGCGAGGGTGTAGACAGAGCTGTAGCCCAATATTTTGGCAACTGATGCTGATCATGTGCAGAACATGCCCCCCTCCCCCCACTACTACATAACAAAACTTATTGTGTATTATTACCTTTTTTTTTGAAAGATGACACTTGTATGACATAACATGGGAACACATTAAATACGTGCAAATGTGTGTATAACACAAAATGTCAGCAAAATGCCCCTCATGGTTGCAGTAGCTTGCACATGTCCAGCACCACACATCGAAAGGGCCAAAGAATGAGAACTTATTGGAAAAAAATGACCAAAAAATGTTTTCTCCCTCCTGTCCCTGCCCTGCCTGTCCCTCATCCCATGGTCCCAGGTGTAGATCCTAGGCAGGAGGACCATGGGCTAGAAATGATTGCAATGGCAATAGCAATAGCAAGGTGGGCATGAAGAGTCCTAGAGCATGCATGAGCCAGGGTAAACTTGCAACTCAAGCACCTATGCAGTAGATGGACCAGCAGCACTGAGGCAGAGCAGGAGGGATGCCTGCTTCCTGCCTCCTCATGTGCACAGCTACTTCCAGGGCTGGGACAAGACCTGCTTGCCATCTGCAGGCTGGGCTGAGTTTGGTGCAGGGCTGGGGCAGATGGTCCTGCTGGGGCAGGCACTTCCATCCTGCTGGGAGTCATACTGGTGGGGCAGGCTGGGCAGCTGTGCTCAGGTAGGTGCTGGAAGTGCCATCCTGTCATACAGGAAGTAGCCTGCAACCCCTGCACCTGAGACTTGAAAGCAGAGTGAGCAGGGACAGAAGTAAGGGTATGCAGGGGAAAATTGAGCCAGGCTTTGCACACATGCACCTGCTCTCAGAACGGCAACAACTGCCTTCCGTGGCCCTCCTCTTAATGGGGTCCTGCCACTGTCCATTTGATTTGGCATCCCTGTGCAAGTGCACTTGGTGCCAGTGCGCTGCTGGCCCTGCCCTTGCTACAGAAGTGGGTGGAGGTCCTCTGCGTAGGATTCTGCTCCCTTCTTCTCCATGTACCAGTGGTATGTGACCTTGTCTACTGGGGGCCCTCCATGCCTGTGGAACAGTGATGTTGGCCTAAATACACAGAGATCAAGCTTCCTTGGGAGAGATGTACAAATTATTAGTGTTATAGCTCTTTCATTGGAGGTTATTTATGAACTGTTTCAGGCTGTGTTGATAAGAATGGCAAGCTGCACGGGTTTAATACCCAGTGGAAGAGTGAAGATTGTCTGGCGTGCTCCTGTTCTGAAGATGGAATGGAGTGCTGCGACATGTGAGTTTGGAAGAAAAGAGTAGCATTTTTCCAGCGTGTAACGTACAGATTTTCCCTTCTTTTACTATGCTTAAACCATACAGTTAGTGTGCCCAGCAGTACCTTGCTCAAACACACTGTACTGTGCCATACACTACCTCACAGACAAGAAGCAGAATAGCTATGTTCACATGGCGCCTAGAAACAGCTAAGTGGCCCTTCTTCTCAGCAGTGCTAGTCAGCCCACTATCAGCAGGGTGTGGATATGGCTACACTGCTTCAGGCCAAGGAGCTAACGCTTACAGAGACTTGTGGAGCGTTTGAGTACCATAGGCCATGATAAATTTGCCAGCTAGGCATGGCTTCTGAAAAAGCAAAAACAATACTACTATGATGAAGCTCTCTTCTGCTGCCTAAAGGCAAGGCACTCACCAGCTTATGGAAATGATAAAAGCACCATTATCAAGAACAGAAGAGCCTTCTTTGACAAAGTTAGCATATGTTAAATAAACAGGACTCCCATATTTAGGAGAAGTAAAATATTTAGAGAGTGATTTCCATATTTCTATCAGTGCTGCCTCAGGCAGAGGCCAACTCAAGTGGCCTGAAAAGGGGAATTTATAATCTCTTAAAAACTCCCTAATGCTTCTGGCCTATGTCCCCCTAAGATGATAGACTGCTCCTAGCTTTCCTCCAAGAAGAAAACTGAGGAACAAAAGCTTGTCTACTTTCTCCTCCTCTGCTACAGCTACAGTCTCATCCATACAGTAGCGTAACTTGGGGATGGGGGGTGGAGGAGGGTGGGGTATGGATTAAGCAAGAGAGAAGGGCAGAATAACATCTCCCCAATGGAGAGAGTTGCTATGGGGGTGCCCAAGGGTGGGAATGCCAGGGCACTGAGAGCAGCCCGTGGGAAGCCCATACCACTGCCTGGTCTCCCAGTAGCAGCATATGCTTAGGCTGCTGCCACAGCAACAGCTACAGCTACAGCTGCCATCCAAGTGAGGAAAGCAGAGGAAGGTAAGAGCCTACTCTCCCTCCCCCCTCAACACCCCACTGCCAGCTTTCCAGGGCTGTAGTGATCAGTGTAAGCCCCTATCACTACCACCACCACCTCTGCCAGGCGCTGAAAGATCCGCCCATGCCTCTAATCTAGCATTTCTCAACCCATGAGTTGCGACCCAAAAGCGGGTCATAAGAAAATATGAAATGGTCACAAACAAACTTTAATAATGGATCAACAAACTTTAAAAGCAGATTCTCCTGTAAAGGAGAAAAAGCATGGGAAACCGTGGATTTTCTCTTGCAGGCTAGCAGAGTTCCAGCCGGCAAGGGGCTGCTTGGGGCATCCCATGCCCCCCACACACACCTGCCTTACACATTCACCCCCTGCCCCATACACTAGGAAGCTGGGATCTAGGGGCAGGGGGCAGTGGGCTGGGAGTGAAGGGCACTGGGTCAAGACTGGCCATAAATGTTTATAAATGGGTCCTGGTACAAAATAAGTTGAGAACTACTGCTCTAATCTGTTCACACAGTACAAAAAATAACTTGAGACACTATGTTCCTAAGCAACTGTTCCAATAATGATGATAGTAAAAACTGAAGAATAAATATACCAATCATATTTCAATATAACCTATTGGTGGAAATGTTTGTGCAGGCAGTTTGACAATCTGTCTAGAATACCAGAAAATGTGAACAGGCTGGACTTTGTTCACCAGTGGTAAAAGGGACTCATTTAGAATCAGAGGGCTGGAAAGACCCTAAGGGTCATCTGGTCTCACCCCCTGCATGATGCTACAATGCTATTCCTAAAACACCCCTGACCCATGCTTAATTATTCTCCTCTTGAAAACTTCCAATGAAAGAGCTTCTCCAACTTCCCTGGGCAGTCTGTTCCACTGCTGTACTCCAAGAGTAAGCATTTTTTTTCCTGAGATCTAATTTAAAACTTCTTTACTGCAATTTAAAATCTTTGCTATGTGTTCTGCCTTCTACAGCCTTTAGCTGTTTGAAAGCTGATACCACATGCACTCTTAAATCTCCTTTTCTCCAAGATGAGCATGGCTAGATCTCCCAACCTTTCCTCATATGGCTTGCTTTCCAGCCCCTTTTATCACCTATTTCTGGACCCTCTCCAACTTCTCCACATCCAGAACTGAATACAACAATCCAGAAAAAAAGGCCAAAACTGAACACAATAGCCTAGATTAGGTCTAACCAGCACTGACTAGTCTGACATTATCACCTTCTGGGCACATCTACACGTTCATTAATGTGCTTTTGCTACTGTGCATTAAATTTAGTACCTCTAATGTGAGGTACTATATAAATGTGCACTAAGCTGCCCTAATGTGCAGTAGCAAAGCTGCATGCTTTTTTAGTGATGCTTAAAGTGCAGTCACCTGTTTTTACTTTGCATTAGCATATTAGCACAGTTTTGACATGACACTTTAATGCACAGTAAAACAGGCTACTGTGCACTAAAGTGCATGTGTAGACACACCCTCTGCATCTTATACCTAGTACTCCTGTTGATGCAACCCAAATTAATTTTTTTTTGAATGACTGCATCATATTGCTGACTTGTACTGAATCAATAGCTCACCAAAACCCTAGATCCTTCTCAGGAATCCTGCTGTCCAGCCAGGTATGTCCCATTCTCCATTTGTACATTTGCTTTTTCTTGCTTAGACTTAGCATCTTGCATATGTCTGTGTCAGCTTAGTTCTGTTGTCTGTAGCCCAGCTTTCAAATTTATCAAATTCCTTCTGAAATTTACTCCTATCCTACAAAGTGCTTTCAGTCCTTTCCAGTTTCATGTCAGCTGCAAATTAGGAGGCTCTCTGTTCTGAAATTAATAAACAAAGTAAATGACACCTAACCTAAGACAAACCAACCCCTGTGGTACTCCACTTGAAACCTCTTGTCATTCCCATGTTGATCCATTTATAAGTACCCTTTGCTTGTAGTTATTGAGCTAATTATGTAGCCACCTCATGATAACTTGATCAAGCTCACATTCTTACACTTCACTTATGAGAAATGTGTATAGGACATTATCAGTATTATTATTTGTATGTGACCTAACTAATGTCCAAGCAGTAAAAAAGGGACTCAGTCCAACTATTAGCTACAAAGAGCATCCATATCTAATTGCTCCCAGCACTGTCTTTTCCCATTGAAAGTGCAGATCCTGTCTTCAGCAGAGAAGCTTTGCTTCCCATTCTCAGTCTTATGTTTGCCTTTTCTTTCTCAACATCAGAGCTTTTAGACCAGTTGATTATGATGAAGAGAAATGTGAAAGCATTTTCAACAAGGACACCTGCAGCTACAAAGTTGTGGAGAAGAACAATCCCTCAATAGAATGTGAGTTCCATGGTGTGGTTGGCTAACAGCAAACACGCTCCGAATCGCATTCTCCCTCAAAGACGATCAGCCATGATGGAAAGAGTCCATTCTTTAATCAACAGGAATTCATGAAGCTGCCTTAAATATGCTAGTTGCTTTCTTTCTTCCTCCTAACTGGCTCCTAGTGTGGTCCCCACTGTGATGGGCTAAAAAAAGTCAATCTAGCCAAAATTCCTAGTTTCCAATTTGTGGGAAGTTTTGTTTTTCTGAAATTTAGTTTTGAATCATGCTGAGACCATACATTTAAAGTTTCCCTCATCAAAGAGTTATTACAACAATATTCAGAAACATCAACATGTAGCATTTCTGAAACAAAATATGATTTTTGGACTCTGCACCTGCTCAGGGAAATTCAGACAAGCTCTAGCAACAAGACGCCTGCTACAAATTTGTATGCTTCACCTTCCCCATTCTACAGGCAATCCGTCATTGAAGGACTCCTTTTTGGTTCTTGGAGGTTTATGTAGCATTCAGGCATTACTAGTCGCAGATTACTTTCATTCTCCTTACTAAGGAACACTTTGGCATACACCTAACTGGTTCTCTATTATTCTGTTACCTGTTCTGAGCTCAATTGCATAAAATAAAAATCAAATGAAGCACCAAAAGTTGACTAGTATCAAATCAGTGATAGCACACTATGCTTCAGTACTGCTAAGCCCTTCTTCCTTTGAAGGAAGCACACATCTTTCTATAGCTTTCCAACAGGGAGGAGTTTAGGGTAGAAGCAAAATGCCTGGAACCATTGTGCATGTTCTAAAGCACGCCTGTGCCCTTTTCTTGGGAATACCTTCTCTCTAAAGGATTCTTTATCCTTCTCAGATTCTGACATGGTCATGGAAGTGTTCAGATTACAAGGGCACTATGGATATGGACAAGTGTTACATTTGTGTCAAGAACAAAAGCTTCTCTCCCCACACCTTTTCCCCAGTGCAGGTATTTAAGTAGTTTGTGATGGGGAAAAAAACCCTTAGTGATTCTACCACAAGCTACTAGCTTTTTGAACAGCAACTTTACTGTTTTCTACTGCCATATATAACACTTGTTTAGGCATATGTGCTGTGATGGGGTTCCCTTGCTCCTCTAGTATCCCACAGTCCTCCACTCTCCCCCACTGCTCTGAGGGGGATGGCAGCAGACTGGTTGTCTCTCTGATAGTCTACCCAGCAGCCAGCTGTCAAGGAGCCCTCTGGAAACCTGCTCCAATGACAGCTTGAGCAGTCTCAAGTCTCTCTGGGATGAATCAAGCAGTAGCACCACCAACCTTTGCCCCTTGAATGGTCCTGGATCTCCCCAAGACTGTGCAAGGGGTCATGGGAATACTTGGGTGTGGGAAGGTTGAGGAGAGCTGTTCTCACCATTGTGACCCCTTCGGGGCAGGGGGCAGGGTACTGTCTTTGCTAGATACTTATTGACAGCCTGCACCCTTCCCTGGCAGAGGAGAGGGATAGCTGTCAATGACTAGGCACCCCTGGCATAGGGGGGAACCAAGGAACTGCCCTCTGTCACCACTCCGCTGGAGAGCTCTTAAGTATGTTTCAGTAAGGGGGTTGAAACATATGGCTCCCTTCTTGCCATGGGAAATTTTTGGTGCTCGAACTGAATGCCTATCCATACCCTATTGCTACCATGTCTCTTCCCCCCGGCACCCACACTACAGCTTCCATACAAACAGCTGCCTTGCATCTGACTGCAAGAACTGCCAGTAACTCAGCATCAGCATTACACTTTATTGATACCCAGAGCACACAACGCAGCTGGGTTTCCTTCTGCTCCATGAGCCTTTGACAAATAAATGGGTTTGCTAATAGTAGTATAAAAATGAGGGGGTAGTGATGATGGTCCAGACATTATGGAAGAGCAAAGGTTTATTAATGTCAATCGCCAACAGTGAACCAAGCTAGCTAGCTAGCCAAATACCAGGAGGGTTGTGTAAACCAGGAGTCATCAATTTACAGCCCATAAGCCAAATCCAGCCTGCAGAGCCATGACTGGCAGTATTTAGCAGGGTGGAGGAAGGAAGGGGAGGGAGAGTCTGTTCACACCATGTCATAGTTGGACAGCAGGGGCTGTGGGAGATGTGGGCTCTGCCAGGCAGAGGGAAAAACAGCAAAGCCAGCCAGGTCCCAGTGCCAGGCTACTCAAACCTGAGCTGAATCATTTTGGCCCACTGTCAGAAAATGTTGCCAATGCACAGCCAAATGATCTATATAGTTCAGGGAGGTACCTCACTCAAGCCTAAGACACGATGTAAAGAACACAGCTACTTGGACAATACTTTCAGACTCTGAAGCCCCCTCTTTTTCAAGTGATACTAGCTCATGTGACTAAGTAGCATCAATTCAATTTGATGGCCGGCCTGACCTTAGATTGTCACGTCATTTTTACTGATGATGACAGGCCTTGAATACTGGAGCAGATATTCATCAGTTAGAATTATATCCATTGGGAATATTCTAATATAATAAAAGCCTTAGTCCATCTGTCTGTCTGTCTATAATGCTCTGGGCCAACTGCACATGCGCTGCCGAGAGGGTGGGTGGCAATTGGCTGGCCCAGGCAACCATGGGAACAACTTTGTGCCAGGGCTCAGGGGAGGAGGCGGAGGTAAGGGAGCCGGCGTGCTGCACTGTGCCACTCCTCCCTTCCCCCCCCAACAAGAGCTGGCAGGGAGGGGAGGGGAGGGGAGAGGAGGAGGGGTTGTGGGGGCCCGCTGCCCTGCTGCTGGGGGAGGGGCTGTGGGGGGGATAGTGGGGCTGGGGCTATGCCAGGCTGTTTCTGGCAGAGGCGGGCTGCTCTCAGGCTGGGCTGGGTCGTGCAGCAATTGAAGCCCAGCGGCTCCTCCAGGGGCATGGGTGGGTGGGTCCTGCCACTGCACACACCATGGGGGAGGCACTACGGGCATGTTTTCCCACCTTGGCTGCCTCATGCTGTGCCCCTGGACAACTTGCTGGGCTCTGGGTCATGGGACAACTGGAGCCTGGCAGCTCCTCCAGAGGTGTGGCACTCCTCTTACTACCAGCCTACTTCTACTTCCTGCCCCTGTCCATGAGAACAGAGCAAGGCAGTGTAGCCTAGAACTACTACCCAAAAGCTTTACTAAGTGTGACTCCAAGTTATTAGAAAGACTGATATATATAATAGAATTTTTTCAGACCATAAACAAACATATTCCTCCTGAGCAAGCAGGGTTTAGACCAAAGAGAGGATGCTGCGATCAAATCATGGTCCTGACTACCAAGATAGAAAATGGCTTTGAAAAGTCACTAAAAACTGTAGCCATCTTCCTTGATCTCTTGGCTGCATATGATACAGTCTGGAGACAAGGACGCATCTTAAAGTTCTTGGACATTATACCTTATCTTAAAATTGCTAACTTTACTAGACAACATGCTTAGCAATAGATGATTCCAGATTTTCTCTGATACTATTAAGAGTACACCACATAAACTGAACAATGGACTCCTTCAGGGATCAGTCTTTGCACATCTGCTGTTTAATCTTTCCATACATGACCTCCCAGGCACTTCCTCAGGAAAATTCATATACACTAATGTCACAGCCATTGTCACACAATCTTGTTTCTCCAGAGCAGAAATAAATGTTTACATCTGATCTGAATACTTTAGATATCTACTTTTAAAAATGGCGTCTGCGCTTAAACCCTGGGAAAACAAAGTGTCCACATTTCACTTAAACAATAAACAAGCTAATTATCAACCATTATCCTCAGAAATCAGTTATGTTAAAATGCTACTCCTAAATATTTAGGAATCATCCTAGATTAAAACACTGTCCTACAAAAATCACTTAACTATGATAGCAACTAGGTTAAAAAGCCTGCAACAATTTTCTCTAGAAACTCACTGAGACTTCTTGAGGAGCTGAAGCTGATGCACCGAGAGGAACAGCTTTAGCACTGGTCTACTGTTTGGCAGAATACTGTGCCCCAATCTGTTTATTAGGGGTGTGTAAAGTGGGCCCTATTCGATTCGGATTTGGCCCGAGTCAGGGACAGTGATTTGATTTATTGATTCGGATCACTGTTCCCATGGAGTAATGAGCACTTCCAGTCAACTTCCAGGTCTGCGGGGGAGCACGTGGGGGAACCCCTGCGCCCCCCCCCCCAACTCAGTGACTGGTGCCTCCTGGGTCAGGGAGGGCACCCGGGGTCCCCCTGTGGCTGATTGCCAAGCTGGGGAGGCACGGGGCGCCCCAGCATGCTCCCCAGCAGAGGACTGGAAGTACTTCCAGTCCACTTCCAGGTTCACCACCAAGCACATGGAGCTATTACTCTATTACTCATTACTGCTATTCTTTGTTTAAACCAGCAGCTACTCCGATTCACCTTCCAAATAGGGGCTCAACGCCGATATATTTGCCCACGTTCCACACCTGCTTTGTTTAGAGACTTGTAGAGCATGTTCATGGTTTTCTGTCTCAGTTAAATGAAAAACCAGAGATCCTGTGCCCTCCTCCACCTTTACAGCTCTTGTGGACTGGGTTTTTAAATCCTTCAGGACAGTAGCGGAGGGATGCAGCTGGGCACCTGGGGCAAAGTGGAAGCAGCAACTTCCAGTTCCCATCGTGATTGCAAATGTAAGAACAAACAGGAGGCTGCTAGCAGCAACCCCTTTTTGGCACCCCCCCACCACATCACCTGGGACAGTTGCCCCTATTATCTTCCCCACCCAGTTTTGCCACCGCATGAGGAGTGGTCTCTACCCTAGTTTTTGCCACTTTAGCTATTACATGGGATTATTGGCTGTTGATACTGGTGGATCCCTTGAGAAAGACCCTCATCACATACTTCAAGGTGCCCATTCAGGTATATTTGTGTACAGGAGTTTTAACAAACATGCTTTTGCCATCCTGTCCCCATGCTTAACAGAGCTTAGGACCTCAGCAACAGAAGGATCATGTGTAAAAAGTAGGTCCTTCAGATGGCAGGTCAGAGAGGCAAGTAAGCAATGGAGAAGGACTGGATGCTGCCCAAAGGAAGTGCACTTGCAAAGGCAAGGTTAGCCTTCTAGTATATCACAAAAGAGGATAATATGGGGCAAAGAGGCAGTGAAAGGGAAAGCACTAGGACTCCTGCTGTGAATGAAGGAGGAGAGCCTGGAGCATGACAACTGCACAAAGGGTAAAGAATTAATATGATTTTTCCCATATTGATTCCCCATTCATGGTGAAAATGCAGATCTAGCCCCACACAGTTGGGATGAGGAGCCATGAACTGATACTGCAGTGTAACAAGTGACTTGTATTTTCCTGCACAGTATCAATATGCAACTGCCTCACTGTTCAGCCACTGGAAAGTACAGGTTTGGTCCTTCCTTTGGGACTTTTGGATACAGACACACACTTGGACATGCATGCAGTTACTGGAGGCTGATGTTCATTTTCTCCTTCATTTGAGCTTACACAGCCACAGTATCACAGCTCAGTTCGGCACTTCTTGTTGTTCGTAGAACTTAGTGGCACAGCAAAACCTAGATCATTCATATCAGGGTGGCTCACAGTCAGGGTTGCCACCACAAGTTTTTAGCTTTGTTTTTTTGGGTCTGGGGAAAACAAAACAAAAACCAACTATC